TGTCCTGTTGATGGCTCTGGTGCTGCGACTGGTTCAGCTGGTTTTGCCTCGGGGCAAGCTGCGAGGATCTCATCCATGCGGGTCTGGTCGTTTTGCTCTTTGGCCGTGAGGTACTGCTTCCTGAGAAGGTCCACCATTGGCTGAGCTGCTGCACCAGGAGCTGCTTGACCTCCCGCTGGCATCGTTGACGTGGATGGTAGCTGCCACACGTGACCACAAGTCTTGCAGTTGGTCCATCCAGGTTTGCCTGCCCTGTTGCAATAAACCCAATTGCCACTACCCACTGGACAAGTCGGGCATACCAGGTACTGCGTGTGCTTCTTGCCCTTGGTGTTGGGCGGCTTGCGGCTGGACGAACGTGAGGTTGACAGTGAGGCTGATCGTCGCCACGGCGCACCCCACGCAGCTCCCCACGTCGCTTGGTCATCTGCGTCACTCCAGCCGCCGCGGCCCCGAGTCATGTACTGGGGCAGCAGGAACTTTAGCAGCGGTTTCTGCCGCCCCCCTCAATCCGCGAACCGACGTACAGCGAGCCCCAGCCCGCCGCCGCCGATGGTGCGCGCCCTGCTGCCTCGGCCCTCGCGTGGCGCGCGCGCGCGCCAGCTGCAGGCCGAAATGGCTTGAGGGAGGGAGGGAGGGAGGGAGGGAGGGAGGAAGAGGAGGGAGGAAGAGGAGGAGGAGGAGGGGGAGGAGGAGGAACAGGGGGAGGAGGAAGAGGAAAGGATGGAGAGGAGGAAGAGGAGGAGGAAAAGGAGGAGGAAGAAAAGGAGGAAGAGAGAGGAGGCCGAGAGAGAAGAGGAGGAGGAAGAGGAGGAGGAAGAGGAGGAGGAAGAGGAGGAGGAAGAGGAAGATGCGACGCTGTGGAGCGACCGCGCCGATCCGCGCGACGGCCGACACGGCTGGATGGAAGACGAGGACCTCCCCATCTCCCGAACTTTAGACGGAGGCCGCCCCCACCCTGCGGTGTCGCGTGGCAGGCTCCGGCAGAGACGGAGGCGGCGTCAGCGGGGGGCGGCGGCCGCATGCGCGGCGCGCTTGTCGCCGAACTTGCTGGTGTCGTCGGGGCGGGGCGCGCGCGCGTGGGGGCGCGCGCCACTCTCGCCACGACGCCGCCGACCGACGACGACGCCAAACAAAACACACAGACGAATTATGGCCGAGGGCGCCGGGAAGAGAAAATGACCTACCCACCGCTTTCGGTCCTCCAAAGGCTTAGCTAAAGGATCTCGGGGTCGGTGGCCAGGAGCGGCCAGGGTGCACATGTGACGCGGCCGTCTGGCCGCCCCTCGTCAGATGGGTGCTGGGTGGTCAAATACAATCGCCTGTTGCGAGCAGCACGTTTGGATATGCGTCTATCCTCGTCAGGTTGGCAATCGAAGAGTAAATGCCCCGGACCCCGTGAAGAAGAAAACCACATGGAACGCACAAAGCATCATGACCTGGTGGAACCCAACATCGGTGCCCTCGGGCCGCCCAAGCGGACACAATCCCACAAAGGGAACAGGCTCGAGTGGGATGGTGGTATCCGACAGGAGGGGGGGGGGGGCGATCGTTGTAACCGACACGCCTCCTGTTCGCATCAGCCTGACAAGCTGGTCCAGCTTGATCTCGGATAATCGCACCAACATTCAAAAGGGCAAAAGAGGCAAGACTCGCCCGCAACTGAATCGGCGCCAGACGACCATTCCTGGGACTTCAAGACCGCGAAGGAACGTAACTGTTGTGCCCAGACAATCCTGAAACGCTCCAAAATACAATTTCTGGTTCGTAAGCCATGGGAACCAATGGAAGTCCTGCAAATGTTTAAGACGATTGTGCGCCGCGCCAAGGCGAGAACCACATATTGAAAAGGAACCGCCCTCACTGCATGAAATTCGTGCAAATTGTAAAACGAATGTACGCGGCGCTAATGCGAGAGCCACATGTTGTAAGCGACCCGCCCCGAACCCGTGAAACAATTGCACGTTTTTTTGGTTTTATATATATATATATATATATATATATATATATATATATATAGATAATACAACAAAAAACGGATGCGCGCGGCGCTGAGGCGAGAGCCACATGTTGAAAAACACCCGCCCTGAATCCGCGCAACTCTTGCAACTGGTTAAAACGAATGTGCGCGGCGCTAGTGCGAGAACCACATTGTGTAAACGACGGGCCGTCTATCCGTGAAGCTATTGCACGTTAGAAAAAATGACTGTGCGCGGTGCTGAAGCGAGAGCCACATGTTGAAAACCACCCGCCCTGAATCCGTGAATCTACTGCTGAAGCGAATGTGCGCGGCGATAACGCGAGAACGCGAGAACCACATTTTGAAAACGGGCCGCCCTCGATTCGTGAAACTGTTCCAAATGTGTGCGCGGCAATAACACGAGAACCACACTTTGAAAACCACCCGCCCTCAGTCCGTAAAACTATTGCAAATGTTTGAAACGAATGTGCGGCGCTGAGGCGAGAGCCACATTACGAAAGCGGCCCGCCCTCAATGCTTGAAGCTGTTTTCCAAATATAAGACTAGTGTGTGCTGCGCTAAGACGAGAACCACATGTTGAAAATAACCCATCCTCAATATCCCTCAATCCGTTAAACTCTTGCAGATATTTACAACGAATGTGCGCGGCGCGAAAGCGATAGTTTGAAAGCCACCCGCCTTCCATATGTGAGACGGTGTCATTGTTTGAGAATCCGGGTCATAAGTGGTGAAGAAGCCTCAGGCGAAACGCCCGGCCAGCCCGTTCGACCAGCCTCGGGGTGCGACAGAGAGGAGTTACCGAAGGAAAAAGAACGGATGAGGAGGACGAGGACGAGGAGGAGGAGGAGGAGGAGGAGGAAAAGGAGGAGGAGTAGAAGGATGCAGAAGGAGGAGGAGGAGGAGGAGGAGGAAAAGGAGAAGGAAAAGGAGGAGGAGGAGAGGAGGTGGGGGGGGGGGTAAGGGAGGAGGAGTTTCGAGGCTGAGGTTCGATGCTCGACAGAATTCGCGCGTGCTAACGAGGCGCCGCTCGGACGCGAAGTCGACATCAGGCCGCGCCGCGCCGCGGGGGGGGGAAGCGGATCTTCCACAACAGTTCCGTCGAGACGTTGCTTGGCCAACTAGCCCTCGCTGCGCCCGCATTACGCTTCTGGCTTCGCCGCTGCGCTCCATGGGAAGCTCTACGAGTTGCCTGCGTAGCCTACTCGTGGAATCCCCCAGCCTGGATAGCATACAGCAGCTTCAGAGAGGCCCAGAGGAGGAGGAGGAGGAGGAGGAGGAGGAGGAGGAGGAGGAGGAGGAGACTCAAGGGGGGGGTGAAAAGTTTTTGGGAGCCAAGGAGGAGGTGGAGGAGGAGGAGAGGAGGAGGAGGAAGGAGGAGGGAGGAGGAGGAGGAGGAGGGGGGGCTCAAGGGGAGGAGGAGGAGGACGAGGAGGCTCAGGGAGGCCCCTCGTCGCCACCTCGAGGTCCTGGTCAGGGGGTCTCCTCGTCGCCGCCTCGCGGTCCTGGCCACAGCAGCGCGCCCCTGGACGGGCCCAGGGGGTCCGTCTTTGCCGCCCGGGGCCAGGCCCCCCTCGCGCTGGGAGAAACACGGCGGGAATACGAGGAGGAGGAGGAGGAGGAGGAGGAGGAGGAGGGGGAGGAGGAGGAAGGAGGAGGAGGAGGAGGAGGAGGAGGAGGAGGACGAGGAGGAGGAGGAGGAGGAGGAGGAAGAGGAGGAAGAAGGAGAGGAGGAGAGAGAGAGAGAGAGAGAGAGAGAGTCTGGTTCCATCGTGGAGCTCTCCAAGTCGCACTGGCGCCCGTCTTGGGGGCCTCTTGGGTGGACTTGGGGACATCGTGGCACACCCTGGGGCCGTCGTGAGGTGTCGGACTTTCCGAAAGACGAGAACTCCCAAATCGCTCAAGCACCGCAGAAGCATCAATGTGTTTGGCCTCTTGTGGCCGCCCTGGAGGTCCTCTTGAAACACTATTTGCCAATGTTTGAAGCCACTTGGATCGTCGGGAGGCCGTGTTGGGCCACCTCGGGCCAGTCTTGGGCCGTCTGGACCTCATCCTGGGTCTTTGGGAAGCGTCTTGAAGGCTATCTCAAAACATCGTGGGCCATCGGGGGTCCACCTGAGACCATCCATGTCGCGGGGTGCCGTCTTCCACCAGCTTCCGTCAGGCGTCCCCCCGTGGCCGGGCCAGATTCCGAAGGGTCCTCCCGAGACCCTCGCAAATACACAACGGAACCCACTCCGCACGGGGAAAACTGGCCAGATGAAAGTCGGCAGGGGTCCAGGAATCGATCTTGGGCGGATTTTCAAAAGGATGAGAGGCGGACGCAAGGACGGCACGGCCCCAGCGACACGCTATGCATTGCGAGCGGGTAGCGTGTCGCCTCGCTCCGCGGGGCGGGAGGCAGGGAACAACTCGGAACTTAGACGTCTGGGGACCATGACGTCGATGGCGTGTCGCGCCGAGGCGTGGTGGGCCAGAAGCGCTTTAGGCGCGAAGGAAACGGAGGGATACCCAGGCTTTTGTACGTTTCTGGCTCTTTTTCCGGGGCCCAAAACAAGTCGAAGAAAACCATGAAAGCTCAATGGGGGTGGGAGGGGAGGGGAAGATCTCTAGAGCTCTTGCGGTCGGCGACTCGAACAGCATCGAGCGGGGGCGGGGGGGGGGAGGGCTGGGTAAGAGGAGGGAGGGAGGAGCGATGAAGAGAGGGAGGAGCGAGAAAAAAGGAGGAAAACAGGAGGGACGAGAAGGAGCAGGAGGGGAGGAAGGAGGAGGGAGAAGGGAGGATGGAGAAAGGAGAGGAAGAAGGGAGGGGGGATGAGGAAGAAGAGGTGGAGAGGACGAGGTATAAAGGATAAAAGACGTCAGGAAAAAAGGAGGAAGAGGAGGAGGAGGAGAGGTGAGATGAGGAGTGAGGAGTAGAGACAGGACTAGGAGAAGAGACGAGGACGAAGGAGGAGGAAGGAGAAAGGGACGGGGGAGGTGGGAGGGACGAGGGGGGCAGGGAGAGCAGCGGACCAGCAGCCTCTGAAAACAGGCTGCGCACGTCGAGGAGCCCGCTGGGATCCTCCGCGCGCTCGCGCCCCCTCCTCCTCCTCCCTCCTCCTCCTCCTCCTCCTCCTCCTCCTCCTCGTCCTCCTCCTCCTCCTCCTCCTCCTCTTTTTTTGAATCCCCCTGGCTTGGCATTGAAATGCGTAGCGTCGTGCCTCCTCCTCATTCGTCCTCCTCCTCCTCGTCCTCCTCCCCCCCTCCTCGTCCCTCCTCCTCCTCCTTCCTCCTCCTCCTCCTCCTCCTCCTCCTCCTTCTACGCTAGACTAACATTAGGTTTGAGCCGGTTGCGCTCTTGAGCTAGTGCGCGAGGAAAAAAAAAACGCCCGACTCAGGGCACAGAGTACCTGGCGGGCGCCGCAGGAACAGCTGTAAGAGAAGGCCGGCGGCAAGTGTGAACAAAAGAATAGGGGCCCGCCAGGTGCAAGAGGCCAGCGCACCTTAGCAGTAATAGTCCCCCGTAGTACCCAAGTATGCTAAGAACATGCTTCCCGAACCCCATCCCTTGATTCTCTGGTACTGGCTGCCTCGGGTATAATCCCGGGTAGAAGTGCAAGTGCAAGCAAGTGCGCAATACAAGTACGCGTCGGTCGAAAGAAGTAGGTAAGAACATGAAGTAGGAGGGCGGATAAAGTAGATTGGGTTCGGGCCCGCCCAAAGAATAACAAACAACAGCCAAACCAGATCGATTCTTGAAGTAGGAAGGCGCTTGAAGTAGATTGGGCTCTGGGAACCCAAAAATACCTACTTTCAACGACCGATGGGTATGCTACGGACATGCGATGTTCCGTGGTCAGACGCTGGCCCGGTCGGTAGAGGCTGGCCTCCGCTGTGCTGTCAGCGGTTGCTCATCGACTGCCGCCAGCATGCGGGACAGCAAGACGCGGCGGCGGCCGCCAAACGTAATGCATAGTCCATCCTCCTCCTCCTCCTCCTCCTCCTCCTCCTCCTCCTCCTCCTCCTCTTTTTGAATCCCCCTGGCTTGGCATTGAATGAGTAGCGTCGTGCCTCCTCCTCATTCGTCCTCCTCCTCATTCGTCCTCTGTAGGACTGGATGAGTGCAGGCTTGCCGTAAACTGTGCTGGAGTCACAGGCTGGCCAGGTCGGTAGAGGCTGGCCTCGTAAAGCAGCAGTTCGAGTCCCTCTCCCCCCCGAAGCCATGCTACCATACCCACCTCCACCAGGGAGTCGCCGTACCATTCGCTGGCAAGAGCTACTGGAACGAGTAGAATGCAGAAAGGATGACAAAGAAGAGGAAACTGGTATTGTCAGCGGCTGCGAGTAATATGAATAAAAAAGGTGGCGTGCGTCTTCTCCTCTTCCTCCTCCTCCTCCTCCTCCTCCTCCTCCTCCTCCTCCTCCTCCTCCCCCTCCTCCTCCTCCTCCCTTCTCCTCCTCCTCCTCCTCCTCCCCCTCCTCCTCCTCCTCCTCCTCCTCCTCCTCCTCCCCCTCCTCCTCCTCCTCCCCCTCCTCCCCCTCCTCCCTCTTCTACTTTTCCTCCCTCTTCTACTTTTCGTCCTACTTTTCCTCCCCCTCCTCCCCCTCCTACTTCTACGTTTGGCGGCGGCAGCCGCCAAACGTAATGCACAGCCCATGCTCTGTAGGACTGGAGGAGTGCAGGCTCGCCGTAAACTGCGCTGGAGTCACAGGCTGGCCAGGTCGGTGGAGGCTGGCCTCGTAAAACAGCAGTTCGAGTCCCTCTCCCCCCCGAAGCCATGCTGCAATGCCCACCTCCACCAGGGAGCCGCCATACCATTCACTGCACTGGTAAGAGCTACTGGAACGAGTAGAATGCAGAAAGGATGGCAAAGATGAGGACATTGGTATTGTCAGCGGCTGCGAGTAATATGAATCAAAAAGGTGGCGTGCGTCTTCTCCTCTTCCTCCTCCGTCCTCCTCCTCCTCTCCTCCCTCCTCCTCCTCCCCCTCCTCCTCCTCCTCCTCCTCCTCCTCTCCTCCTCCTCCTCCTCTCACCCCCTCCTCCTCGTCCTCCCCCTCCTCCTCCTCCTCCTCCTCCCCCTCCTCCCCCTCCTCTCTCTTCTACTTCTCCTCCCTCTTCTACTTCTCCTCGCTCGGGAGTGCTCGGGGACCCAACGGAGAGACACCACGTCTCCGGGGCCCTGCGCGAGGGACAGGCTGGCAAGGGCAGCGCCCTTGTCCTGCAGAGCTCGGCGCCTGGCTCGCGACGTGCCCACGTGTTGTGGCACACATTTCGGCGGTGGACGAACCCACCTTTAGTAAACCTCCCTTTAGTGAAAACGGCCTGGGGCCGAAACCGACGGACCTGCACCCGCAAAAATGACGGCCGCGACGCCCTCTCGCGAACCGACAACGGCCAATTCCTCAATCGACGTGTCAGGGTGGGAGGTCTATCCACCTCCGAACATAGCCCGCCGCCTCGCAATCACGCATGTGGTGAACGCCGTGTCGTCGAAAGACGTTGGAACTGTTGGATTCGTGCACTGTCGAAGTGGCGA